GAGGTGTCCACCCCCCCCCCCCCAAATACCTGGCCAAAGTGGGCGAGCTGAGGAAGGCTTCTGGACCCCCCCCTGCACTCTCCTGGCTTGCCTGCCTTGGCGGGCGAGCCAGGAATGGCCAGAGTGAGAGTGGAGAGGCACTTAAATACCTCCCCGTGCCTTCCTCAGCTTGCTTGCTCAAGCGGGTGAGTCAAGGAAGGCTTCTGGAGCCCCCCTCGCCCACTGAGGCAGGTGAGCCAGGAGAGGGCATTTAAATGCCTCCCCGTACCTTCCTTGGCTCACTCGCTCAAGCAGGCGAGCTGAGGAAGGCTTCTGGAGCCCCCCTCGCCCACTGAGGCAGGTGAGCCAGGAGAGGGCATTTAAATGCCTCCCCGTGCCTTCCTCGTCTCGCTCACTCATGCGGGCGAGCCAAGGAAAGCTTAGACACATTTAAATGCCTCCCCATGCCTTCCTCAGCTAGCTCACTCGCTCAAGCGGATGAGCTGAGAAAGGCTTGTGGAGCCCCTCCGCCCTCTCCTGGCTCGCCAGGAAGGCCCGGGAAGAGAGCAGAGAGGCATTAAAATGCCTCCCTGTGCCTTCCTCAGCTCGCTTGCTCAAGCGGGCGAGCCGAGGAAGGCTTCTGGAGCCCCCCCCCACCCTCTCCTGGCGAGAGAGTGGGGAGACATTCGGTTCCCTAGTCTGATCTTTCCGTTATATTCTATGGGGCCATAGAATATAATGGAAAGATGACTCCATAGAATATAATGGTGTGGCGTGACTCTAGAAAAAGGAGTACGGGGGCGGGGCTTGCTGCCACCACCATTTGTGCCCACTCCTGGGCCGCCGGAGTGATGCTCCGGCGCACTCCGGCCCCAACCGACCTTTGCATACATGATGAACATATCTGTTATGAATGCAACTGTTATATGTTTCAGTATAATGTTAAACAGATAGACAGCAATCTGTTGCAAATAGTTAAACACACACACAAGCAATGGGCCCTAGGCTATGCAGTCAAAAGAAAATTTAAACAATGGTAATGTCTTATACAAATGCTGGAGGTTCATTCCTCCACAACTAAGGCTTCCTAGGTTCAGAAGCCATGAATCAAATGCCAGTTTGCTGTGACATCTGACTTCAGGTACTTGGATGAACTGAATTTTGTTTCTTCTCCACAGCCATATGAACCTACCCAACCACTCCAGTCATCTTTGGAGGCCCTGCTTCGAGTGTCACACTGTCTGAGGCTAGACAGGTGGTAACCCGAGAATGAGCTTTCTTGGTTGTGGTGCCCATACTTGGGAACTCCCTCCCCTGTGTGTCTCTCTCTATTATTATCTTTTGCCAGTAGATGAAGCCTTTTTAATGTTGCTTGGGGTTCCCTCATGAACTTCTGTTAGCCCTTATTAGCCCTCCTCCCTGTCAGTGTGTTTTTATGTTGTTTATGTTTATATTGTGTTATCAATAATTGTTTCTTTACATACACACGTATGTGTGTGTGTGTATGCTTTGTAATGTTTGAAATATTTTAATATTTGTTGTCCTGGGGACCCTGAATTGGGTAGAAAGGTGACATTGAACAGTTCTAAATAAAATAAGTAAATAATAAATAAACCCAGTTTATGGAGAGGAGAAAAATGCCAGTTTGCCCAGATGCCTGAATTGAGATGTCTCAGCAAATTGGAGTTTGATTCATAGCTTTTGAAACCAGAAAATGTTCAGTCATGCTGTGTGTGTGACTGGTGGAATGTGTGCGCAAACACCGAAACAACCCAGTTTATAGCCACCATAAAACAATCCACTTTTTGTTCATGACATCTAAATGCTGCTAGAGTTTACTTGGAAGTCTCTGAAATACCCGAATAATTTGATGTCTTTAGACTCATTTCATAGCAATTGCAATCATGGGCTTGTGTAAAAACTGGTTCCCAAGGTCCTGTCAACACTGCAGCACCAAGAAGGGCTATGCAAATGAAGAAATTGTACAAGAGATGAAAAAAGGTGTTTAGGGCTAAAGTCTTTATTGATGCTACAAGTATTGGGGTGAGTGTTCTCTTTTTGCTTCCATGGCCTAGTTCAGACTGGCAGTTTGGCCCGGCAGCCAAACATTTCAGGAGCATTTCAGTAGTGGATTAAAGGGACTGGCACATCTGTCAGGCATCCCCCAGCTGTACTCAAGCCGTCTTGTGCCGCTTCCCTCCCGAGTTTAAAAAGTACCAGGTGAAAGTGGTAGCAAACTGTGTGTAGAGCGGGTTGATTCCTGTTCCCTGATGTGAGAATGCAAGCGCTGCTAAGGCGGGAACAACCCACAGTAGTTGATAATAGGCGCTGGCTGTTTCTGCGGCAGGCGCCCATGCGCATAGGCACATGAAGCGGAGTAAAGAAACAGCCGCTAACAGCCTGCCAGGGGCGGGACGACAGTGCGAACACTTCCTTGCGCTTCCTCCACGGTATCCTCCCACTTCATTCGCCGTTCCCAGTCTGTTCCGGGTCTTCTTTGCCACGACTCCCTAGCGCTTCAAACTGCCAGTCTGAACTCGGCCCATAATTTTCATCTTACAGCACTGCCATTTTAGAGTGATACAATCCTATTTGTACAAGTGGGGACCCACAAGCAGTTGCAATGGGGGCATATCATTTTCCTCTCCCCCACTTTTTCCTCTTTCCCCTCCCTGAATGCTGCCATAGCCTCTCCCCCTTGCCTGCTTCCTTGTCTCCTTCCCACTGACCAACACCATTATCTTTGCCCCTGTCTTCAACTTTCTCTTCTTCCCTCCCTCTGGCAGTGTCTTCTAGGGGATTGCAATATTTTTTTAGTCAGTATTTTTTGGTTCAGTTCTATTGGGCCTGAGAAAATTTTGGGATTTCCAAAAAATCCCAGATCCCAATACCGGTACAGTATTCGGATCTGTGATTTTTTCAAAAATCCTGATTTTTCCAGGTCCAATAGACCTGAGAAGAAAAGTACCAGTTAAAAAAAAAGCCAGCCCGATCCTGGGATTGGATTGGCTTCTCCTGCACCCCATCTTAAACTGGGCTGCAGGAGAAGACGGGGCAAAGTTGAGCTGATGGGGAACAAACTGCTCCGCGCTGGCATAGCCGATCCTGGCTGGGCTTTTCCCTCCTACAGTCTGGTTTAAATTGGCCTGGAGGAGAAGAGAGCCCCAGGAGCTGCTGTGCCGCACAGAACACATCTGGAATGCCAAAATCTACTGGAAAATACCTTACAGTTATTTTTTGGTAGATTTTCGGCAAAGGTAGATCCAAATGCACACCTCTAGCCTCTTCCTGGGAAAACTATGGCTGAGTTGTGTAGTGCTGGTCCCTGGACCTGTTCAATGGAGGGGAAACTGCAAGGACTTGCAAGGGGTACCTCGCTCTCCCCTGTATCTCTCTCCCTGCACTATTTCCTCCTTCTCTCCTCCAGCCAGCCTCCTGTATTTTCTCTTTCCCTTCTCCTGGCAGCCTCCACATCTACTCTTCTTTCCCTGCTTCCTTCTTTCGATCCATCAGCCAACCTACTTTTTGGTCTGCCCCCTATTTTTAGCTATTTTATTTAATTTACTTCATTTATACCCCATCTTCCTTCCCAATGGGGACCCAAAGCAGCTTACATCATTCTTTTCTCCTCCATTTTATCTTCACAACAACCCCCTGAGATATGTTACGCTGAGAGTGTGTGACTGGCCCAAAGTCACCAAGGAGTTTCCATATCAGAGTGGGGTTTTGAACCTGGGTGCCCCAGAGCCTAACGTGAAGTTCTTAATGACTAAAACACATTGGGTGGTTTTTTGGGGTGGTGGTGGCTGCTAACAGTAGCAAGCAGGTGGGCCTTGGTGAATCATGGAAGTCTCCTTTCCACCCACTGATAAACCAACTTTTAACATGCTCCACCAGTTTCAGCTATATTTGCCATGTGAGATGGGTTAGGCTAAGATTGTGTGACTGGCTAAAGGTTACTGAGTGAGCTTCCATGGCAGAGTAGGAATTTGAATGTGAGTCTCCCAGATACTAGTCTGAAATTCTAACTACTACGTAACACTGGTGTTTGTAAGATGGCTGCTGTTTAATAGTAGCAAGCGGCTGGGTCTTGGTGAATCATGGAAGTCACATGGTATCAAGTCACCTGCTGGTTGCTGCTGGCCTTGTATCTAATGAGTCCCCCCTCAAAGGCCAAAACAGTCCTGGAATGGGCTCTGCCTTTTACTGACAGAAACCAAGGCTTGAAGGCTGGCAGTACTGGGATGGTTGCATAACAACAGCCCCTGAGGAAGCTCATTTCTTGAAGCTACAGGTGCTGTTTCTATTACTTGGGGGTAATTAACCCTTTTTAAAAAAAAATAAAATAAAAATAAAATATTTCTGCAAACCTAGGGCTTTTTTCAGGGATCTAGAAAGATCTGTCTTGCCAGTCCATGGCCCCAGTCTCTGGGTTTAAATATCCACAAATGGGGCCATGTTGAGAATTAGATGTATTGATTATATGTATATTTGACAGTAATTATGAATCATTAAATGTGGAAGAGACATGTACTGGAGTATTGCTTCACTGATTTCAGTCCCCATAGCATCATAAGTTATTATCAATAAAAAACTGGAGTTTGACAGATGGTTTCTTCAGCTTCCAGAAAACACTGTGTGCTCTACATGTTAATACTGCCCTAATATTTCTATCATTACAATACATTTCAAAGTGCAATTTAGATTTTTTAAAGAAGAAAATACTGAATCAATCTATTTCTTATCGTTCAGATTTGGATTTTTTTAAAAAAGCTGAATTATGTGATTTGAGTCAAGATTCATTGAAGTACAATTATGTATAATGTTACTTACTACACTGTTATCATGGAACACTGTTAGCATATTCCATTATTTCTATGACTTCATGAAGTAGCAGACACACAACAGAAGGTGATATTTCCCTTACTCTCTAAATGGGAAATGATTGTGGCACATAACGTCACAGTAATGACAGAAGCTTTAATTAGTGGTTTAAATGAGTGGCAAATAACTGAACTTACCCATAAGGCCCTTCCCCTTGCCCAGCTTTTGAATTCTGTTCATCTCATTCTGGCAAGGGAGACCTAAAACATAATATATGAGAGTGAGTTTCCAGATGGTAAGGGACAGATTCTCTAATGATTAGCTTCACAATTGACAGGTAATGTAGTCTATGGCATACCTGGGAATGAGCGAACTGCATATGCTTGTACTGTACTGCAGAACAAATGTATGCCATTAGCTTTACTAATTAAAAAATTCACAACACACTATGCTTAAAAATAGTGTTTGGGGGCCATTTTGGTTGTTAAACAGTTTTTCCTTCCCTTCATCAGCCTGATCTAAAGCCAAAATGCTAATTTACTGCTTGCTAATAGACTAATTTTCACATTATAAGCAATAGCATAAGCAATAAGCTAATAGCAATGGAACCCATTCTGAGATTCTCATTGCAAATCACGTAATGATCCAAATTTCTGAGGGCACATGCTGTGGTTCAGTAAACAGAATAAGGAAGCTCCTATGTAAGGGAACTGCAAATGTGTTTTACGGTCACTGGGTTGTAGACCATGGACATTACCCAGACATGACACACAGGCTTCTCTCTGCATATACCAGTGTATGCCACTGCGGTATTTGCACGATCACATACCCTGTGCAGAAATGGAAGACTCTCCATTCCTCCCAGAGGAACTAAATGCTTTAATTGCAAAGAAGATCCAACAGAAGTAAGGCTAGTTTTGGGAGGACGTTAGTTTATGTGAACCCTAAAGGATGATAGGTGTTCCAAAATGTGGGAAGACATTTTCAGCCCTTGTTAGTGTGCTTATATGATTTTAATGGAACTTAGGCACACTTTATTGGATTGTTTCCTTTATGTTTAATCATGGTTGGTTGGTTGGTTTTAACTATTATATGCACACAATAGACCCTTGGGTTGGAGGGAGATCCCAAGGCCAGGGATAAGCAAGATACAAAAACATTTGCAAAAATAAAAACAAACAAAAAGTAAAGTTTTCCAGGAGCTGATTTTTAGGAAAAGGGAGGAGGAGGAGTTGGTTTTATACCCTGCCCTTCATTACCCGAAGGACTCTCAAAGCGGCTTACGATCTCCTTCCCTTCCTCTTCTCACAACAGATACCCCGTGAGGTAGGTGGGGCTGAGAGAGTTCAGAGAAAGAACTGTGACTGACCCAAGGTCACCAGCTTGCTGCATGTGGAGGAGTGGGTAATCAAACCTGGTTCTCCATATTAGAGTCTGCTGCTCTTTTATTTATTTATTTATTTGTTCGACTCCCCCCCCCCGCCCTCCCGCCTAGGCGGCTCAGGGCGGCTTAACTATTACACCAAACTGGCTCTCAAGGAAAGGTAAGCTGGAGATATGATAATGCCAGAGGGATCCTCTTCTTGTTGGTGCATTCTGAATTGTTCTTCTTATCCTCCCAATACTTTCTTTCATGTGGGCACTGCTCAGGGCTCTTTTTGTAGAAAAAGCCCAGCAGGAACTCATTAGCATAATAGGCCACACCCAACAGCAGGAACTCATTAGCGTATTGGGCCACACCCCTGACAGCACAGCTCATTAGCACATTAGGACGCACCCCCATGTTACCAGAAGTGTGGTTATCCGGCCACACCCACCTTTTGCTTGTTATTCTGTTTACCTTGTTTGTTGTCAAAACCCAGGGCCTTTTTTGTAGCAGGAACTCCTTTGCATGTTAGGCCACACACCCCTAATGTAGCCAATCCTAATGAGTTTCTGCTGTTGGGTGTGGCCTATTATGCTAATGAGTTCCTGCTGGGTGTGGCCAACTTGGGAGCCAGCTGGAACTCCGTTCCTGTGCATTCCTGCCCCAAAATAGCCCTGGCACTGCTTAACTGAGAGGTGATGAGTTTAAAACTACCTATACATTATACCCTGTCGGTATAGCCTGTGGCAGTATAAAATGCATTCTTTATATGTTTCTAGCCACTCTCTGCAGCACAATAACTACCACGTATCTTCCCAGGGATATGCCCTGAAAATGAAGGAGGTTCTGGAGCTTAAAAATTAGTCTCTGCATCTGAGCAAGACTATTGAGAATAAAATGAAAATACCGAAATCAAGATTGAAGAGGCTAAAAGGGAAGGGAAGAAGTGAGAAAGAGGAGTTTGAATGTGGAAGGATGTAGAAAGGTTGTTGAGGAAATAAAGCATGGCAGGATGGGGAAAGAGGATCATAACAGTGACAACTGAAAAACAAGCTTGCCAAGCTTAGAAGAAGAAAACTGACTGGGAAAAAGAAGGACTAAGAAAACGTGAGATGAATAAATGGACACCAGGAAGCAGAGGAACAGAAGAAAGGAACATAAGAATCAGAGAGGAAAGTGAATTTTGAAGAGTTTGTCCGTTTAGACATTGGCGATAGTCTGGCTGGTTTTTTTATAAGTCCCCTCCCCCAATCTTTTATTCAAATACCTCTGTGGGAGAAGGAAATGGTGAGGAAGAGAAGGAAATGGTGGGGAAGATGGCACTCAATAATCTACTGCTATGCATTGCACAAACTCTTTGAAGACAGTTGCCAACCTTGCAGTTACCTACTCAAAGAAGAACTATTCCTGAATTTCAGGTGACCCAGATCACCTCAGACACAGTCATTGCTCTGCCTTTTGGGCTCTTTTTAGCAGCTTCTGCTGATGAAATTCGGCTAGGATAGAAGGGACTAAGAGGAAGATCAAAAAGGACTGGCCATACCTCTGCTTGTGCTGCTGACCTATCACCACCTCATATAAAAGTGCATTGGGACTGCAGGAGCTCATTAAACTGGAAAGGGAACAAAGCAGGGACTATGAAAATAAGAGGTGGCCATGACCATGTCCTCAAAACAGTAGCAGGAACACCTGCTTCCAGACCTATTCTGTAATCCAGGCCAAAACTTTTAGATTCTGCGAACTTGGATTTTTGCATTGGAGGATAAGCATGCAGTGTAGTCCTCTCAACTGATCACCAGAGGCTTTTTTGGGCCATCAAGTCACAGTTGAATTATTGTTGAAACTCGTAGGGATTTCAAGACAAGAGACATTCAGAGGTGGTTTGCCATTGTCTGCCTCCACGTCATGGCCCTGGTATTCCTTGGAGTTCTCCCATCCAAATACTAGCCAGGGCCGACCCTGCTTAGCTTAGAATTATCTTGGCATGCATATGGAGTTCCAGCATGCCTCACTGTGATACTCAGAGATGTCCATCAACTCTAATTTCCCAGCCTTATTAAAACCATACCAAGGAGACATGGCTCATGCCAATCCTAATCACATGGCATTTGCCTTTTACTATCACTTAGAAATTGGTTTTTCTGTGCAAATGTTTTAGCATCAAATTGTGGAATCTGACAGTCAGTCTTTCAGGACAAAATTCACTGACTTACCTCCAGGCTTCTGAAAGCAATAGCACCACTCATTGTTCGAAAGCTTCCCATCTTTGAAGGAGTCACAAGAGTTGAAGAGGGGTTTAATGCACGGTTCATACTTATCAAGATAAATGGCATTGATCTCGGAGTGATCAAGGAGGAGGTCATAGTTCATATCCAGCTTGTTGAACATCCAGCCCAACGAATCCTTACAGATTGGTAATATGCTAGTGTCAAATCCTGTAAAAGCAAGACCAAATAACCCAAACTGAGCCCAAGCGTCCACATGTTACCAGAAAATAAGATGACCAACTAATTGACTGTGTTCTCAGTGCTGTAGATAACTGGGACAAAATTGATTTCAAATTAACCTTTCCTTCCTGACTTCTTGGATAGTGGAACATGATCCTAATTCGAAATACAGGTGAATGAAATGGATGGGTTAAAGAGACAGTAGAGTAAATCACAGAGACAGATAACATCCTGAGTCAAAGCTGTTCATTATGGTGGTTCAAGTGTGAATGGAAAAGCAAGGGAGTTTACAGTTGGTTGAAGCCCATTTCCCTGCAGAATTAAAATTTGTCTTGTCTGCTATGGTGCTGATGGAACATACTAATTACCAAGGGCAGGAACACAGGATTCTTATCTCACTACAGATGCTAATGTTCTGCCCCCAAGCATTTCCCCTCTGCTCTATTTGAGCTGATTACAATATGCATGGTAACTTTGCATCCTTTCCAAGCATTCTTTACAACATCCCTCCCACCTCTGAAAAGGCCCAGAGATCTCTATTCCTGCTCCTTTCTGACAAAGATATCTTTGACTCTCAAAAACGCCCACTCTGAAAACCTTGTTGGTCTCTAAAGTGCTACTGATCTTGAATCTAATTGAAAAAGAATGAATTCACTTCATTTTCAAATTGTCTGGAATCAGAGAATAGGGCACATTATGAAATATACCAGGCCAGTTTTCTGCATTGAATCCTTATTGTGCCCCTCTCGTGTTGTAAGGACCCTGCTCACTCCTCCAGCTGAGACCCTTTTGGTTTAGTGGGGTCCCCATCTTATTTTGGACTTAGGTTGTAAAAGGGGGTGCCTATGAAAACAACTGCCTAGAGGACCTGAAACTTGGGGTCTCATAAATGCCCTTAGGTTCACCCACGGCATTGGAAATTCTCAGGGACAGGAGAGGAAAGGTGGACTGGAAATGTGCAATCTTCTCCAGCTCAGGGTTCTCAATAACAGTAGCACTTCTCAATAAGGCTTCACTTCATTCTCAATCACTAAAGACTTTTCAACACTGGAATATCCTAGCATACCCCAGAGGTGTTTGCCCAGCCCAAGGAAATTGTTATTACATTAACCAATGCCCGGTTCCTCTTTTTCCTTTCTTTACTCAATCAAGAAGGGCACTTAGTCAATTAATTTACGCTCCATCCTGTTTCAGGAGTTATTATGACTCACCCAAACTTTTCTGTCCAATGCAGAACTGGGTCACTTCAACCTTCTTAAAGTATGTTAATCATGTTGCCTCACCCAGGCTCTTTGTGCCCATGCAGATTTGGCTCACAAGTATTTCTCCCACTTTTTCCCACCAAAGTTTGACAGCAGCACCATCTTCAGAAGGTTTGACAACTAGCTCTCTATCTTTCCTCCCGCAACCTGGCTACAGTGATCCATGCAATGGTCACTTTCGAGTTAGACTACTGTAACTTGCCCTACACGTGGCTACCCTTGTACCTGACCCGGAAGCTGCAGCTAGTGCAAAATGTGGCCGCGCGCTTCCTGACTGTGATGTCTCCGTGGGCACACATTCAGCTGCGCCAACTGCACTGGCTGCCAGTAGAGTTCCGGATCTGCTTCAAGGTGTTGGTGTTAACCTTTAAGGCCCTATGCAACCAGGGACCAACATATCTGCAGGACTGCCTCTCCTAAAAGGTGCCCCAAAGAGCCTTGCACTCAGTAGATCAACATTTACTGGTAATCCCCAGCCCCCAAAATGGCCCCAACTTGGTGGAACAGGCTCCCAATAGATCTATTACAGATAGATTTGCAGGATCTGCAGGAGCTATTACAGTTCCGCAGGTCCTGTAAAACAGAGCCGTTCTTTCAGGCCTTTGGTTGAGGCCACAGACGGCCAGTTTGGCCTCTCCTGCTCAAGCTGCCCTTGATCTTGATGGCAGCGAATTTATCACTCTGAGAACATCCACTCTGACGGAAACAGCCCCGGACACCACAAGTTTTTGGAATGCCATCTTGCTTACTAAGGGAATTCAGAATGGTTGTTTTTAGAGTTTTTAAAGTTGATTGATCTTTGTTAGTATTTTGTATGTTGTGACCTGTCCTGAGCCCACTTGCAGGGAGGGCAGGATGGAAACAGGGTTGCCAACTGTGACTTACGTCGCCGGCGGGGGACTCCTGCGCGCCGCATTCACATCACAGGGCAATGACGTCATGACGCCGGGCACGCTGGGGGTGGAGCCATGACCATACAAGGGAAAACCATAGAGTTTTCCCTTGTATGGCCGTGGCCCCGCCCCCAGTGTGCCCGGCATCGTGACGTCACTGCCCTGTGATGCGCACGCCGGGATGGGGTTCCCCTCGGGGCCCGATTCCCCGGCGTCTGGGAATGGGCCTCTGGGGTGGGGAATTTTCCGCCCCCCGAGGGGATTTTGGAGCCCTAGATGGAAATAAAATAAATAAAGATCTCAATCAGTTCTTACTTGAGTAATACTAACCAATCTTTTTCTGGGAAACTTGAAATGCCAGGTTAAAGAGAAGAGTTATTAATTTTTTCCTTCTTCAAGAAACCTAGTGTCAAAAGTCCCCAGGCCAGGCCAGGCCAGGCCAGGCCCAAGGACCTTTGTTTAAGGGCCGAAGGACACAAAATTACTAAGCCCTGGGGTGTGACTCCTCACACACCAGTCTGGTAGCCACCACCAGCCCTTTAGACTATTCCAGTGATTAGAAGCTAAAGGGCAAGCTTCCAACCTTTCTGGGACTAAACAAGAAAGTCAGCCCTGCAAGGTAGGCTTGCAGAAAGAGTTTCTCACAAAAACAATTATCTTGGTAGGTGGTGACTCAGTCTAAGACTCTGGATTTAGTTTGAGGTCAGTTGAAGGCAAAGAACCACAAAGTAAAATAAAATATATATTATTTATTACGGTGCAAGAATATTTCAAAGTGAACCAGTACTGTGAGACCAAACAAGAAAGCTAGAAATTTAAGAACTAAAACAGTAATATATTGATTCTGGTTATAAGATGTTACCAAGTCTCAATCGAAGGTTCTCAGTAATCCAAAGTGCCTTTCTCCTTAGATTCAGCATAGGCCAGCAAGCTGTTTGGCCTGCTGCAAGCAAGTGTTCAAGATGGCTGCAGTGAGCAGGATAGTGACTGCATATCAAGATCTTAGGTAGTCACCATCAGGCCAAAAATAAGCTAAAATCCTACTACTTTATGGCCAAGGGTCCATGTGGTCTCAGGCCTGGAAGACCAATAGGATCCCTGTTGTTAGGCAGATGACCCAAGAGGTGGCCTGACCAGGGAGAAAGGAAATGAAACCTATCTGCAGCCAGGGCCAGCCTGAGGTTGTCCTGCGCTCTAGGCGAGCGCAGATGCCAACCTCCCGGTGGGGCCTGGAGACCTCTCAGCGAGAACCAGGCTGGGAGGAGGGTCACCCAGCCCCCGCTTGCCCCCCCCGCCGCCACTGCTCGCCTCCCCCTGGCCACCATTCGTCTCCCCCCTCCTGACCATTGCCGCTGCTCCCCCACCCCTGCCTCCCCCGCCCCCGCTGCAGCCTCTCTGCCCGGCGAAGAAGCCACAGGGGGCAGCGGCCAGCAGCATGGGAGAGGGTGTGGTGGTGAGGAGTGAGCAGGATCACGGGGGTGTGCAGCTTTGAAGTGCAGAACCATGGCCGCCCGTGCGCCACGCCCCCCACGCACCGCTGGTGGGTTCCCTGGCAAAAGCTTCCCCAGTCACCTCCGCCGGGCGCTCCTGAGTTGATAAGGGTGCCAGAGTGGCGGGCACCCAGTCAGGGCATTGGCACCGGGTTGCGGGGGCCCAGTTTGGTACCCCTGAGAGCCGGCGCGCCCTAGGCCAGACACTAGCTGGCCTAGTGATAGAGCTGGCCCTGTCTGCAGCTAGACTTGGCCCTTTCTCACAGGTGCAAATCATGAACCTTAATTGGATGGAATGTGGCTTATAGGAAGTCAGTGCTAGGTTCTTGACTTCTCTCTGCAGGTGGGTGTTATCTACAAACTCACAAGGTCAGTTGGCTCTGGCTTATCAATGTGATTTCTGAACTCTATTAACCCAAAACCAGGCCGCAGTTCAAGCCTGAACCAAACTTTGAATCAGAACAGGAAATCTGGGGAACCAGTTTCTTTATACCTAGCATGCTGGTTCTCACTGACATAGTGTGCAGCACTGAACAATTACACTCTTCTAAAGTCAACTGAAGTCAGAGGACACAAATTAGTATTGATGTACTTAGGACTACACTGCTAGTGTCTGCTGTAGATAGTGTCAAACTAAGTTTCTGTTAGCAAGTTACTATTGCATACTAATCCATGAGATAATCTCTACTTGTATTCCTGGCACTTCATCTAACTGCAGAGTAGGTTACAATTACTAGTTTTGGACTCACAAAACCCTATTCAGCCTCTCAGAACCTCACTTCCCATCTTGCTTTAGTGGTAAGAGTCTAGGAAAGGGTGTCATGGCTCAGTGGAAGAGCCTCTGCTTGGCATGTAGAAAGTCCCAGGTTCAGTCCTTGGCACCTCCAATTAGAAAGATCAGGTAATAGGTAATGTGAAAGACCTCTAGCTGAGACCTTGGAGAGCTGCTGCCAGTCTGAGTGGACAGCACTGACTGTGATGGACCAATGGTTGGATTCAGTAGCAGGTAGCTTCATGAGATGCTCCTAGGCTGTGGTCACATGGAGCAATAGCCACGCTACAGAGACGGAAGATAGGCGGATTTTCCGGGCGCGATCACACCGCCACATCTGGGAAACGTAGAGCTCCCGTGGCGCCCCCCCCCATGCTCATGGCTTCACATCCAGCAGCGGGATGAGTCACAGGGATGGGGGTGGAGAAGCATCTGCAGTGGAAAAGGCTCTTCTTAAAGGAAATTCTTCCTTGATTTTCTGTCTGGGTTTGGCAGCTACTGTCTCTAGTTAAGCTGCTTTTCAGAAGAGCTCTTCACACAGGCTTTGAGTCTAGCTGGCCTAGTGATAGAG